AAAGCTGACATATATATATATATATATATATATATATATATATATATATATGTCAGTTAGCTTGAAATCGTCTCCTCATCCCAATTCCTCCTATTCTGCTTAGAATCATGAAACTGCCTTCACTGTGAATACCTTTCTTACGTATTTTCACTAACACACATGACCGAACCACTTCTCAAATATTATAATAACCTCACAAATTTTCTAATTTTCATTTCTTCCTTTTCCCTTTTTTCCCCTTTATTTCATTCCTTCTTATTATAACTTTCTATTACATATGCCTATTTGTTCTGTACACTGAGCTGTCAATAAACAGCCTTTTTTTAAAAATTGGAATTTTCAGCTTTTAACCGCCAGAAAGGGCGTTTTCAAATTAACCCTCGGCCAACCCCTTTGATAAAATTTGGTGCTATTTCGAACAGCGAAAATTCATTCCGCAAAATTTCAAGGTCACACCCTAGAACAGCTGTTGTCACCTGTACAAAATTCAACAATCTTCGTTTTGCAAAAAATGAAATTACCTATCCAAAAATTTGAAGTGATAAAAAATCAGTAGGGTCATATTATTCAAGAAATATCAAAACGCCAAAGATGATGGCATTTTGGCTTACTTCGCAAGCAGTGGTCGTATCTCGTAGATGGCAAAATCCGGGTTGAATCGATGCCGCCGGTTATTTTCCGTTACGATCCTGATAAATCGAGCACGCAAAGTTCTCGCAAATTCAGGCGTAAAAGGTGTGCCTGTACGCACAATGATATATGGAAAGACACCGTGCACATTTACACAACATTTCTGACCTGCAAAAAAAGATTCTCGACTGCAAAATCCATCCTTAGAACTGACCCACCACCACTTTCAATGTGAGCAAATACTTGACGTTAGTTCGTCTCAAACACAATAATTTGCCAAAATTTCAGCCTTGTAGCTTTTGTAGATCTCGAGATGAAAACTCGGTACGGACCCAAACACAGACACACACACATACATACACACAAAGAAAAGCCCTTCACAATATGTGTTTTTGCATTGCATATATGCAAAAAAACATAAAAATTGCAGATCTAATGGTTCTTCAACGAGAATCTTGCGCACAAAAAAGAAATTTTGGTATCTTTATTCATTTTCCATCATATACTTGAATCTATGTTCATTTCTTAAGGTTTTACGTCTAATTTAGCTTGTAGAGTATCAAAAGTCAAAATCCCCCTACACTTCATTCCCTAAGTGAAGTTGAAGGACATGCAAATAGCCTGAGTGATGGTAGTACGTGTCAATAGTAATCAACTGCTCGGCTGTCGATGGCTTCTTTTTCCAAGTATTGCTAACAAACTGATGGCGGTTTCAATTGCCTAACACAAACCATCACTAATTCATTGATAAAAAAATCCAATATATGTGTATTTTTTAATGCCAATACGCTTAAACTGGCTGAATTTCACAGTCAAGTTGTAAATTTTGCGGTAAAATTTCGCGCAAGAAACTCTGAAAAAAATTCAACATTTTTTTACTGAACTTTCAACCTTCTGTCCGACATCATTCAACTAAGTAAATTTTTTTTCCCGTACTTGAGCGCTCCTTCCCAGCCCTACAATTACATCGCTTATAAAAATGAAGGAAAAAAAAACAATTTTATCCGTAAAAATTCACTTTTCAGAGGGGAATGGGCAAAATATTTCAACACAATTTTACTTAAAATGCGGGAAAACACGGTGCAAACTTCTATTAAAAATGTTGAAGCATGGTGCCAGGAGGAAGCTTTTTTGTAAAAGATGAGCAGCCAAACGAAGAGGAATGATAAGTAACAATCATTCGAAGGCCAATCACAGAAGTGGATGATCCAAAGTGGGGCGGCCGAAGTGGTAAAAGTTTTTGGTAAATTTTGATAAGAAATTTGATAAATTGTTAAAAAATTTGATAAAAAATTTCGATAAGTTGATAATTTTTTGCAATCGTTGCTAGGATGAACCATAGTTTCTGAAGTAACGGCCAGTCTGAACAGTGGAAAATACAGGACGGTCGAAATCCTTAAGCCATTTTCCCGCCAAAAAATTTCACGGAGAAATGTAAAGTGGAATTAGTAAATGGGATGGGATAGTACCAGTGTGCAGAATGCCGAACATTCGTATGATTGGCACTCGTGCGCCAGCAGTTGCATGCAACTTTGGTCTGTTGAAACCGTTTGGCCGTTCCATGTAATAATCGCATGTGATGTTCCGCATCGATAATCCAGCCATTACGAACCATCTCGCTAAGTAATAGTATCAAAACGACTGCAACAAATCATAATTTGCCATCTTCGACGGTCAACAGTTGTCCATAAGTGGCCCAGTCGAGTGCCCGTTGGTCACTTTGTAAAAGAATGATCTGCCTTTCAGTTTACCGTCATTCGATGAGCCTGTACTGATGATTCCCGCTCCTAGCCGCACGCAAAGTTCGGTCAGTGTGTTTACAGCTAAGGGATGAAACACAGACATCGTAAAATGTCTTTTTAAAGAAGACACTTAAGTCCAATCCCTCTATTCTACAATTTCCTTAAATCCCATAACCAGGACCTATAAAAATTCAAAAAGGAGTTGAACAACAAAGGACTTCGAGAAGTTATTTGAACAGTAACTATTTTACCAAAAAAAAAAAAAAAAAAAACTAC